ACTATGAACACTTAAAATATGGAGACAGAGCATTTGGAGTGCTGCTCCCAGCATGTCGGAGGGAAAAGCAGCAAGATCCTTCCCGGAGGTAAATCCTTTGTGTTGTTTTCTTCCCAGTGCTTGGGCATCCAATCCCACGTTCATCCTTTTCCTCTAACTTATCTTTTCATGACTTTGGAAAGCAGTCTTCCTTATCTAGGAAACAAATGGCCTCCACGGAGAGCTCAAAACAGCAAAGTCATTTATCTGTTTGACATGTGTTTGCCTGTTTGTTTTCTCCAGCCTTGAGACAAGAGTTGTGTCAACTGTGGATGGCTATGCCCCAGTCACTCGAGAGACACGAATCAATTTCCCAGCTGCATTTATCACTTGCTGCCTTAAATCAAGTCTAATCAATGCTTCCTTCATTTGGTATGGATTGAAACTATACATAACACACTCAGAAAACAGGAGAGAAAAGCAGCAGATCACAAAAATTCCATCAGGGATTTAGATGGAATGATGTTAAAGAAACATTTGCAATCTTTCATTTGCTCTAATGGAGACCCCTGACCAAACAATGAGAGATTTGCGTTCATGAAGCTTAATTTGAATTTACCTGACAAATGTCATTTGCAGTGACATTACATGACAGGCCATTTGATATATGGTGGGTTTCTGCATGTTTAAGGATTTTATAATTAATACACTCTTAGGATCTGATGTATATTTATAATTTCATTCCTATACTAAGTTTTAAACTCATTTCCATTTCTTTTAGAGGTATCTGTTTCACCATCATTGACTATATAATTCAATTTCCAGTTATAACATATAAAGTAATAAAAAATCCCTTTATAACAAAACAGATATCTAGGAGTCTGTTTTGTTTTTGTTTTTTTGTTAATAATTTTATAAAGTCTTAAATATGGCCCTCTCTCTACTCCTCCCAATTCTTGGTATTAATAACAGAATTTGATCCACGTAACCAAAGTGAGTTTTTCATTCACAGGTGTGAAAACCGCTCCCCAGCTGTCAACCAATTTAGAATGTGGTAGGGAGCAGTCTTGTCTCATTTGCAGCTTAATCTTGTGCCAGTGAAAGGTGATACCAGCTTAGTTACCGGCACCTAAAACCTGGCCATGCCCACAGCAAGGCCTCCGATCATTCTTCAAGGATAATGGGACAAGAGAGACAGAACACAAAAAAACAGGTCAATGATAATGCAAGCCTAGAAGATGAGGCAGTGCTGTGATTCATGGGCATAATTAATATTTCTATCTAATCTGCTGAACTGTGTAGACTTTTACCACTAGCCTGCCTCTGTAGCGATTAACAGGGCTGACTCATTTTCACAGTGCCAGCTCCCCTAGCGACCTGTTGTTAGGTAGCTAAATAGAGCCCTGTTCAGCTCTGGGAAGTGAAACAATAATAATAAACCCTTACACTGGTTTAACGCTTTCCAGTTCATAAAAGTGCTTTGAACATACAGTCTCCTAGCACTGGAAGGCCAGCAATAAAAGCAGTTCTATTTCCATTTCTGTCTATGGCCATACCACCCTGAACGCACCCGATCTCATCTATTCCCTCTTTTTTTTTTCCTTTGAGACAGAGTGTCACTTTGTCCCCCAGGCTGGAATGCAGTGGCACAATCTCAGCTCACTGCAATCTCCGCCTCCCGGGTTCAAGTGATTCTCCTGCCTCAGCCTCGAGTAGCTGAGATTACAGGGGCCCGCCACCACGCCCAGATAATTTGTTTGTATTTTTAGCAGAGACAGGGTTTCACCAAGTTCGCCAGGCTGGTCTCGAACTCCTGACCTCAAGTGATCCGTCTGCCTCAGCCTCCCAAAGTGTTGGGATTACAGGCATGAGCCACCACGCCCAGCCCCATTTCTAAGATGGAGGGAAAGGTGTAGTTTGGAGTCCCCTACCCTTGTGAGTCAGCCACAGTGGAGCTGGGTTGAATTGGAGGCTGCCTCTTGTCAACCGCAAAGTCTTGATTTTTCCCACTGAGCTGTGACTAGGCAGTCACTGGGTCTCTTCCCTATACTTTCCCCAACTTATTTTTTTCTCCCATCACCTATGGGTTTTGGGAAACCCATATGGTTATAGGAGAACCCTAAAGTTGCCTGGCAGGTTGTCTAGTTTAAAAAAAATAAATGAAAGGCAGCACCTTTGGAGGTGTTTTGGGTTACTGAGCTAGTGTACTATAGTGTTCTCAGCCCATCTTAAACAAAGACAGAGTAATGTGATATAACAAAGTTTCAACCTCTGTGAACAAAGAAAGGGTAGGAGAAACACTGCCGACACAGACTCTGAAATTAAGGAACTCACTCACGTTGTCTTTAATACTCATGAGGGTTGTTTAATGAGCTCCCTGGCTTTGAGGATGTCCGGGAAGGATCATGTTTGCTCATTCTTTGAGGAAGGGAATAACAAGTTTTTCTACCCAAGACAAGTCCACTGAAGTAGATCCTGTCAAGATTCCTAAGAACAGAAATTGATGGAAGGAAGAAAACTTCCATGGCTTTAAACTTTTAGACAAGAGAGGATTTGCTTAACTTGCTTGACTTCAGTGGAAGTAAATGAGGGGAGTTACAGATAATACTTTTTCAAACTGGCTTCAGGTAATGTACTATTGAGGAGAAATGCATTTTCAATGGTCATAAGGACTTGGAAGCTCTCCAAGGAGGCTGAGAGAAGTCTTGAACACATTCCAACAAAGCAGTTATAGTATTCAGGAGTTCATATGCATTTTAAGTGCCGTAGTCACCCCAGGATCATGTTAACACAAACTAGAAAAGTACAAATATTCACCATCTTCACAAGCCCTAAGTAAAAAGTATCATACCCTTTCTTGAAATTAATGATGCTACTGAGATTAATAGATCAGATTTCATTTCCTCCTCAAAGCAAATTGGTTTATCTTATTTGTTCATTCATTCAACAAATATTTATGGAGTGCTTGAGAATAAGGACACTGATGATTCAGTGTTAACAAGACCCTACCTCCCCAGCAGCTTAAACTCAAGTGGGAAAACTCATAAACTATTAATGGAGACTTACACTTCCAGTCCCAATGGATTAACAGGGACCAGATTTACTCTCCCGTCAGACATAACCAAAGCAGAGAAACGGGAGCAATACACAAAACCATGGCTTTCCAAACTCTGAACTTCAGGCAATGCAAGACAGTGATCCTGAGAGACAGAAAACAAGGTGAGACCTACTGCCTTGAAAGACTTTCCACGCTATGCAGAGAAGGACAATCCAGGCAGAACCCAGGGGGTTCTGGAGTTCAAAGACAGGGCTGAGGACTCGGGGTGATGAAGGCAGCTAACATTTGCAGGACAGAGCTCCAGAGAGGAGACAGCTGCACAGAGAACCCTGGCTATCTGGAGACAGAGAGGAGAGCCCTCTTCTAGAACCATCTGAAAAGATTAGAGGTAGCTGGGTGCAGTGGCTCAGGCCTGTAATCCCAGCACTTTGGGAATCTAAGGCGGGTGGATCACCTGAGGTTTGAGACCAGCCTGGCCAACATGGTGAAAACCTGTCTCTACTAAAAACACAAAAAAGTAGCCAGGTGTGGTGGTGCATGCCTGTAATCCCAGGTACTTGGGAGGCTGAGGCAGGAGAGTCACTTGAACCCAGGAGGCAGAGGTTACAGTGAGCTGAGATCGCATCACTGCACTCTAGCCTGAGCGACAGAACAAGACTCTGTCTCGAGGAAAAAAAAAACCACACACACTCACATTAGAGAGAACAGTCCTCAGTATGCACACAGGGAACAGTGTGAGTTCAATCGCCAGGCTGAAAAACTCGTAATTCATAAGGCATGGTACAGCACTCAGGAAAATCAGCACTGGGGAATGATTTGCCCTAGACTGAGCACTGCGCCAGACCTGCCTAACAAATTACAAAGCGAGACCCGTAAGGATCAAGCTACTTCCATGTCACTGGACGGCATCCCTACGCAAAGATAGAGAGTATATATAAGAATGCATATCCAGCACCTAAGACGGTAAAATTCACAAAGTGTGGCATCCAATCAAAGACTATGAGGCATGCAAAAAAAAAAAAAGACTCATTAAGGACTTGTATCCAGAATTTATAAAGAACTCTCAAACTGTTGGGCGTGGTCACTCATGCCTATAATCCCAGCACTTTGGGAGACCAAAGTGGGCAGACCAGTCTGGGCAACATGGCAAAACCCCGTCTCTACCAAAAATAAAAAAATTAGCCCAGCCTGGTGGTGCACACCTGTAGTCCCAGGTACTTGGGGGCGCTGAGGCATGAGAATTGCTTCAGCCTGGGAGGCAGGTGTTACAGTGAGCCAAGATCTCGCCACTGCATGCCAGCCTGGGTGACAAAGTGAGATTCCATCTCAAAACACACACACACACACACACACACACACACACACACCACAATACAAAACAAAACCAACCAAACAAAAAGAACTCTAAAAAAATCACAAACCCAGCCTGGGCAACATGGCAAAACCCCATCTCTATAAAAGCTACAAAAATTAGCTGGGTGTGGTGGAGCAAGCCTGTGGTAAGGAGGAGGTGCTAGGATTGCTTGAACCTGGGAGGTTGAGGCTGCAGTAAGCAGAGATTGCGCCACTGCACTCCACTCTGGGAGACAGGGTAAGACCCTGTCTCAAACATACGCACACACACACACAGGCAAACATATACACACACACAGAGGCAAAAGATTTGAACAGACACTTCCACAATGAAACACCACTACACATCTATAAAAATGGTAAAAGTTTAAAAGACTCACCATATCAGTAACAAGCATGTGCAAGATTGGAACTCTCATAGGCTGGAACTCTCATAGATTGGAACTCTCATAAACTATCACTTTTGGTGGGAATGTAAAATGGTACAGCCATGCTGCAGAACAGTTCAGCGTTTTCTTAAAACACTAAACACATACCTACCATATGGCTCGGTCATTCCGCCCTCAGGTATTTGCCTAAGAGAAATGAAAGCATACGTCCACATGAAGACTTGTATACAAATGTTCATAACAGCTTTATTTATAACAGCCCCAAAATGGAAACAACCGAGGCGTCCATCGATAGGTCAATGAACAGATCTATTCAATGAAGTAGTACTCAGCAATGAAAAACACAAAAACTCTTGACACATGCTGCCACATGGATGAATCTCAAAATAACTAGACCGAGTAAAATAAGCCTGACCAAAAAAGGGATACATATTGTATGATTCAATTTACATAGAATTCTAGGACATGCAAACTAATAAGGGGGCCCAAGAGCACTTGGGGATGATGGGTCCGCTCCTCACTTCAATCGCGGTGACAGTTTTATGTGGGGTACACATATGCCAACACACTGTACACTTTCGATACGTGCAGTTTATGGGGTGTCAAGTACACTTCCTAAAATAAAAATATTGATGGGCTCTACATTCTGGAGACACTGGCAGTAGAACTATTATTTTCAGCTTGAAATATTAGCTACACTTTGGTAAAAATACTTTTGAATTTTATCTTCACAGTGATAGCAAGGAAAACAAAAGGTATACACATTCACTGATTGAAAAAAAAGTCATAAAGTTGTCCCCGTTTCTGTGGGGGGTTGGTTCCAGGACTCCTGAGGATACCAAAATCATCAGATGCTCAAGTCCCTGATAAAAAATGGTGCAGTATTTGCATATAACCTACCCACATCCTCCCGTACACTTTAGATCATCACTAGATTCCTTATATGATCCCATACAATGTAAATGCTGTGGAAATAGTTGTTATACTGTATTAGAGAATAATAACAAGAAAAAAAGTCTCCATGTTTGGTACAGATGCAATTTTTTCTTAAATATTTTTGATCTGCAGTTGGTTGAATCCACAGATGCGGATACAAATACAGCAGGCTGTCTATATACTAAGAAAAACTACAAAGTGAAAATGAGGAATTCTCATTTGGTAAATGAAACCAAATCTACCGTATTTCTCAACAACAAATAAAACCACCTAAGAGTCAATCATTTGGTGTCTGACGGCCATCTCTCTCCTGCATATTGCTGTGGTTTACAGCAGTGGTGCTCTTGGGTTCAGAAACCTGAACTGTGGTCTTCAGTTGTTCCCCAAGCTCCTCTATCAGAGGTCCAGACACTCCAAGAGGCTGGGAAGAGGCAAGGGGCTTTCCCTGATTGGCATCAGACTCCTGGATGGCTGTGTTTTTGCATACTCCACCATCAACAATAAGAAGGGCACTGCTTTCTTCAAGAAAGGGACCTTGCAAAGAATTGACTGTCTCAGATGGACTGTCTTTGAGTTCATCTTGTTCTGAATCTGAGTCTGAGTCTTCGTTTCCAGATGACACGGTGCTGTCTGAGTCCTCCGAATCACTTGCCTCAGAGCTGGAGCAAAGTGTCTGCTGCCCAGAAACTGAATGGGCTGCTTTTAATGCAGTTTCCTCCTCCTGGACAAGCAGTGCTGCTGCTTCTAGTTCTTCCAGTTCTAACCCCAGCTGGGCCTTTGTAAGGGAGACTTCCTTTAAGGCTTCTGCAAGAGCTGCCAACTTTTTGGATCTTGAAAACATTTTAAGAACAAAGATTAGAATTATTTATTAATTGGCCTGAGGATAACAGGGTATGCAGCTTCCAAAAAAATAAAGTTGAATCCATATTTTAAATGGCACACCAGGATATATACCATAACAGATCCAAGATATATATGTAAAAACAGATCCAAGATATACATATTTTTTAAAAAGCGATTAAAAGTATTACAGGGAAACACAGATTTCCTTTATGACCCTAAGAAGGAGGAAGGCTTTTCTAACTATGACTCAAAATTCAGAAGCCACAAAAGAAAAGACTGATAAATTCAACTAAATAAAATCAATTTCTTGGCCAGGCGTGGCGGCTCACGCCTGTAATCCCAGCACTTTGGGAGGCTGAGGTGGGTGGATCACCTGAGGTCAGGAGTTCAAGACCAGCCTGGCCAACATGGTAAAACCCTGTCTCTACTAAAAATACAAAAAAAAAGCCGTGCACAGTGGCAGTCACCTGTAATCCCAGCTACTTGGAGGGCTGAGGCAGAAGAATCACTTGAACTCAGGAGGTGGAGGTTGTAGTGAGCCAAGATCACACTACTGCACTCCAGCTAGGCAACATAGCGAGACTCCGTCTCAAAAAGAAAAAGAAAAAAATCTATTCCTTCTGGGTAATATATCTATAATAAGTGCATATATATATATATATATATATATACTAATAAACCCTAATTCTCCTAACAGAGTTCCTAATAATGGATATATAACAACCTAACAGAAAAATGGACAAGCAGACAATTTTCACAAAAGGAAATATAAGTAACTCTTAAATGTATTAGATGTTCAACTCCAGTCAAATAAGAGAAATACAAATTAAAGTCATATGTGAGATATATTTTTTATATGTCAGATTGGCAAATACCCAAACATTTGATATTATTCTGTTAGCAAGACTGCAGGAGAAAAGGCACTTTCATATACTGATGGAGGGAGATTAAATAGCTACAACCCCCAAGAAGGAGAACTTGGCGATAACTTTCAAAATGGAAAATGTATATACCCTGGACCCAGCAAGCCCCATGTCTAAAAATTAAACACATGTAGCACACACACTACATAACATAGGTCTGAGGTTATTTACTATGACATCATTTTTTAATACCTAAAAATTGGAAACAACCAAATGTCCTTGTTATAAGACTGGTTGACTGGTGAAATAAGTTATGGCATATCCACACAAAGGAATAGCCTACAGCTGTATAATGAATGAAGCTCTCCATGGGCCAATCCAGACTTACTGCTTAACACCACAAAAGGCTCACCATATGTATATGCTACATATATATAAAAAGGGAAAATAACAGGAAAGATATCAAAACAGATGTTTCTATTTGCTTGTATACTTCTCAATAAACTCTCCAAAGTGACAGAAAACAGTAACTTATGTAAAGGAGATAGGGTGGGAACTGGAAATATGGGGGATGACACAGGATGATGGTGTGATGGAGCCTTTTCACTGCCATTGTTTTATTTTTAAACCTATATAAATGTATAAATGTTCACAATCTTAAAATGTACAAGGAGGAAAAGCAATATCAGCAGCATGGAGTACTTTTTCTTAAACCATTTCATATTATTTCAGAAGATTTTTTTGAGACAGAGTCTCACTCTGTCGCCAGGCTGGAGTACAGTGGCGCGATTTCGGCTCACTGCAACCTCCACCTCCCGGGTTCAAGCAATTCTCCTGCCTCAGCCTCCCGAATAGCTGGGACTACAGGTACGTACCACCAAGCCCAGCTAATTTTTTTGTATTTTTAGTAGAGACAGGGTTTCACCATGTTAGCCAAGATGGTCTTGATCTCCTGACCTCGTGATCCACCAGCCTCGGCCTCCCAAAGTGCTGGGATTACAGGTGTGAGCCACTGCGCCCAGCTGAAGATTCTTTTCCTCTAAATTACTTGCTAGATTTATAATATTACATTGTATCGAGTAAATAAACTTTTCCATTATTAACTTGGATGCAATTAGTTGTTTTTTGTTTCTAAAAGAACCAACATGACAGAAACTGGCATTCTCCAAAGATGACTACTCTTCTAAAGGGGAAATCTAATGTGACAACTGAAGAAAGGTGGCAGTGAGTGAAAGTGGTAAACATGCTGACATGGTTTCTATGTTTCCCCAACTCCAAAGATAAAATGAACGTACAAAACATTGAGTGGCTTTGATACAAACTGGATGAGGGTGAGTTTACAAGATAAATTCATTTGTAAAAGTGTAGTCCATCCCATAACATTGGGAAAATGAGACTTCATTTCAGTGCAACTGACAGTACAACAGGAAATACCGAAAAAAGATGGTATTTTAATCTGGGTGTCCGCATGTACCTGAAATGCTATTTCTCAAAATACTTAGCACAATAATGAGATTGTACAGGGATTGCCCCCCACCCCCCACAAACCCTGCTGCCCCTTCACACGTGCAATCAGGCCGCAGAAGCACCACTGCAGTGCCCAAGGGTGAGCGGGAGGCACAGTGCGGTGAGTGGGACAAGGGCAGTCACCATTGTTGATGGGTAGCTTTCTCTTATGCAAGGAAAGCCCTGGGTTTCAGTGCCAGAATTTCCAGAGCGCTTAGAAAAAGGCAGGGGTTAGGGTAAAGAGGAAAACCAAGGTGACATCCACTAGAGTCAGTTAATGATTCACCAAAGCGTTATAATCCCGGGCTAATCTTTTATCAGTCTGAGGCATTTTTAAAAGCATAGTTATGGAATATGATGGCTGCAACATAATTTGCACTTATACCCAAGATAGTTGTAGATGATGTCCACCAATATTTTTAAACCTTGACTACCAGTGCCAAAGGATTCAGTCTGAGCTGCTGCAAAGTTCGTTCAGTCTAAGAACTAGTACACCACTCTGTTTCTCCATGAAGGGGAGTCCTCTCACGCAGCTTAAGAAATAAAGAGTAATAAATTTGGGAAAATGGATACTGCCTCTAATACTAGAAATAAAAACATGTAAAATAAAAGCTTTTACTTTACTGACTACATATCTCATTTTAATCGTCACGACAAATACGTCTCAACAATATACAAAGGATGATGTTCCACTAACATCACTGCACTTGCTCCATTAACCACCCTGTGAATCAGTACCATTGTTATCCCTACATTACAGATGAGGACACTGGAGCTTGCAGGGGTAGGAGAGCCACTGAGGTTCGCTCAGCTAACAAGGAGCGGTCACGACTGGAAACCCAAGCCTCAGAACTCCAGTCCTCTTCCCGTTCCATCAAGGGACCTCCCATGAATACACAGGCTTTGCAAAGTGTTCTTTTTTTTCTTTTCTTTCTTTTTTTTTTTCAGACAGAGTTTCACTCTTGTTGTCCGGGCTGGAGTGCAATGGCACAATCTCGGCTCACCACAACCTCCACCTCCTGGGTTCAAGCAGTTCTCCTGCCTCCGCCTCCTGAGTAGCTGGGATTACAGACACGCGCCACCATGCCCGACTAATTTTGTATTTTTAGTAGAGACAGGGTGTTTCCATGTTGGTCAGGCTGGTCTTGAACTCCCGACCTCAGGCGATCTGCCTGCCTCGGCCTCCCAAACTGCTGGGATTACAGGCATGAGCCACCGTGCCTGGCCAAAGTGTCCTTTCTTAAAGCCACATTCTTTACTTCTTCCCAATTTGAGCTCCACTCAGCATCTTCCAACTGAGCAAGTTCTGACTTGCACAAAGCCCAGAATCCTCCAAAGCAATTGTGACTAATATATTTAGCTTAATGATGTTAAATGAAGTATACATACAAACATCATCTATGGAGGTTCAGAAAAGAAGGGTAAAGTTCAAATCATTTTTGTGAATTTCACTGAATATATTAAACATGCCAATTCTCAGGTTGATATTATTTGGATCTTTGTTATTGTCTACTATACAGATATTGTGTCCTGTCTTTTATACCTGTAGAAATGTGGAATTCCAAAGCTCCTCCCCTAGAATCCTGGCTCTTCTCAGAAAGCATACCCCACACACAGGGGGACTAAAAGTATCAAGTGTAACAGGCAGAAAAGTGGTGAAGCTGAATCCAGGGGCCCAAATAGGAACTCCCGTCTGTAACCAGCTGATGCGAACTTTTATCCTTCAGGAAAAAGTTTTTCACTTTCAGCATTATATTATGCTTAAAATTACCAGGCTACACAGTAAGTGGGTGGGTGGATGGATGGATGGATGGATGGATGGATGGATGGATGGATGGACGGACGGACGGACGGACGGATGGAGAGACAGGTAGAGAGAGAGAGAGACAGACAGATTTCTGATTCTTCACCAAGCTTCATTTCTATTTTATTATCCCACCCTTACTACTTCAAGCTGGCTAGCTTCCTAAATTAATATTAAAGTTCTGAAAGAAACTTTAATAGAAGAAACATTCTGAACTCTCTCCCATTCTTAAAGAATGCCAGGATAAAAACTGATTAAAATTCAAAATAGCATCGGTGTAGAATGTGCCCCAACAGTCTGAGGAATGAAAGTTGGGTTTGTTTTTATTCAATTACTTAGCACAGATAACCTAGCAATCACTGCTCACGAAAAGGGAAATTATTCCTGTAGGGAAAAAAAATTAAGCCATGAAAGAGTAGCTGTTTTGTTTTTTCAACCACTAGTACAATTAGAGTTGGTTCTAATCTGCCACTCCGTGTAAATTCTAGAATCTACTTCTGTAACAGACTTACCTTTTCAGAAAGCAGCTCACTTAAGGTAGGTAGTGTCATACTCAAAACAGACTAGGCTAGTTCATGTCCAAAAGCCTGGTCAAATGACATTATTAGATAACCACTCTTACAAACATCAGGTATCATTTATTTATTTATTTATTTATTTATTTTTATTTATTTTTTTGAGACAGGTTCTCGCTCTCTTGCCTGGGCTCTGGAGTGCAATGGTGCGATCAGGGCTCCCTGTAGCCTTGACCTCCTGGGCAAAAGTGATCCTCCCACCTCAGCCTCCTGAGTAGCTGGGACTGCAGGCACATCCA